GCAGAACCTTTGCAGAATTTTATAGTATTAAAAGGAATAAATCCTAAGTGAGTTTTTGGGGTCAGATGAACTACTCAAAAAAGGTAATAATGGTGTTTCTAAAGGTAGTTGGAATGTCAGGTATAAGCATGGTATCACTGTTAATTACCTTAGATAATTCTGTTCTTCACTTGTATTAGGAAAACTATTACCAACTAGTCATTTTTTATCCATTCATTTCACATATCCTTGTTGAATGCCTGCCACTGAGGTTGAATGCCTACCACTGAGATTTCAAACATAATCTCTTAAGACATAATCTAATGGGGTAGATGATATATGGAGAAATAATTGTATAGCATTTAAATGTGAGTAGAAATCACCAGCTGAGGAGATAATGTGCAAGAGGCCATAACATCATCTAAAAATGGTGAATAGTTCAATTTTTGGCTGATGTGGGGGTATCTTACTTGAAATAGTGGGAATAGGCCTACAGTGGTAACTCAGGCCGGATTGCAAAGCATTTAGACCTTATTATGTAATCAGTGTATACAAAGATTCATGCTCGAAGATGTTTGTTACAGCACTATTTACATACTCTGAATTCCTTTTTTGTGCTAGTGTGTCATAGTTTACTTTTCTATCCATATTGACCCCATGCTATATTGCTGTTATTTTTGCCTTAGACAGCTATCTTTTGAAGTGATTAAAAATAAGAGAAAAATGTCTTTTATATATATTTTCAGTATATTCATTTTTATAGATCTTTGTATAGATCCAAAATCTATATAAACAAAGACAGATCCAAGATCTGTTGGGTATCAAATTCCTTCTGCCTGAAAAACTGCATTTTAACCTTTCTTGTAAAATAGACTTGCTGGTAGTAAGTTCATTCAGCTTTTGTTTGTTTGAAAAAAGTCTGTATTTCTCCTTCATTTTTGTGACAGGATCTCACTCTGTCACTCAGGCCGTGGTGTAATCTCAACTCATTGCAACCTCTGCCTCCTGGGCTCAAGCAATTCTCCCACCTCAGACTCTCAAGTATCTGGCATTACAGGCATGCACCACCATGCCCAGATAATTTTTGTATTTTTTGTGGAGACAGGGTTTTGCTGTGTTGCCCAGGCTGGTCTTGAACTCTTGGGCTTAAGCTGATCCACCTGCCACAACCTCCCAAAGTGCTGGAATTACAGTGTGAGCCACTGCACCTGGCCTTTCTAGCACTTTAAAGCTATTGTCCCATTGTCTTCTGGCGTATATACTTCCTGAAGAGAAATCTGCTATAATTCTTATCTTTGTTCCTCCATATGTAATATGCTTTCTTCCTCCGCAGCTGTCCCAGCTGCTTTCAAGATTTTGTCTTTGATTTTCTACAGTGTGAATAAGATGTGTCTAGGTATATTTGTGTAGGGTTCCCAGCTGGTGTTCTTTCAGTTTATTATATTTATAGTTTGTGAAAAGTTCTCAGTTGTTACCTCTCCAAGTATTTTTTCTGTCTCATTCTTCCTTTTTCTTTTGGGATTCCTATTACCTGTACACTAGACTATTTGATACTGTCTCATACCTCTGTTTTTTCTCCCTCTCCCACACACACACACACTCTCTATCTCTCCCTCCCCGCCCCCTCTCTCTGGCCCCATTGATCTATTTTCAGGTTCACTGATTCTTTCCTCAGCCTTGTTGCATCTATTTATGATCCTGTTGAAGGAATTCTTAATTTCTGTCATTGTTCTTTATTTCATGCATTTTCATGTGACTCATTCCTGTAGTTTCCATTGCTCTGTTCACCATCTGTTCATGCATGTTGTCTACCTTTTCCATTAGAACCTTTAACATGTTAGTCAAGTTATTTTAAATTTCCCGTCTGAACCTTCTGAGTCTGGTTGTATTAATTGCTTTCTCTCTTGATTTTCTTTGGAAGGGTTGCTTTTTTGTGCCATCATTTTACAGTGAATGCCAGATATCATGTATAGGATAAAGGAGGAGGTGAATAGAATGTATGCCTGGAAATAGGCACAGCTCTCTTCTGCTAGGCCGTAACTATGAGAAGCTGAGTCAATCTAGTCAGGAGTTGAGCTGGGTTTGGATTTTGTTGTTGCCGTGGTCCCTGTGCACCACTGACTTTAAATTCTTTGAATTACTTTGTACTGGTTTCCTAAAGGGATTTTCTCAGCCGTCCTGCTCCATCAGCGTTGTTTTTTTTGTTTGTTTGTTTGTTTTTTTTTTTTGAGATGGAGTTGCCCAGGTTGGAGTGCAGGGGCGCGATACTGGCTCACTGCAACCTCCCCCTCCCGGGTTCAAGCGATTCTCCTGCATCAGCCTCCCAAGTAGCTGCAATTACAGGTGTCCGCCACCACACCTGGCTTTTTTTTCTTTTTTTTTTTTTTTTAGTAGAAATGGGGTTTTGCCACATTGGCCAGGCTGGTCTTGAACTCCTGACCTCAGGTAATCCACCTGCCTTGGCCTCCCAAAGTGCTGGGATTACAGGTGTGGGTCACTGCACCCGGCCTTGACCTTCCTTTTGTGCCTACTTCTCAGAGAGGGAGGATCTCTCTATGGCCTTGTGCTCTCAGTAGTGGATTGCTGCTACTTGCAAGCCTAGGATGGGGAGGCAGAATAGAAGGTTCTGTGTTGTCCTATCCAGCTTCAGTCTTAGGCAGGCTTTATCTCCTCCGTTCTCAGAGATGGGCTTACCCATCTTCCAGGAGTAGGAGTGCTCTAATGGTCAGGGTCACAGGTGGTTTCCAGCTTCTCTGTCAGGGGTAGAGTTTGTTTGTTTGTTTTCTTTCTTTCTCACTCCCCTAGTCTCAGTAGGTCTTTACCTGTAACGCAGGGGTGACAGGGTTTTCTGCTTTCTCCAGCAGCTGAAGGCTCTTGTTTCTTAGGGGAGAGGGGTGTGGAAGGGCTTTCTGCATTTCCCACAACAGTGGGCCATTCCCCTTCTCCGGGCCTTGACTACCAAGGGAGGCTTTCCCTGGTGTCTCCTGCCCCTGTGAGTGCATGGTAGAGGTCCACAGAAAAGACTTTGAGCAGGTGTGAGCTCACCTGTGTCTGGATCTCCCAAGGGTTCAATACTCTCATGCCAGCCCACATTTGTTTAAAATGGAGGTGAATTATTCCCTGCTGGTGTGGGTCTTTCTCTGTGCTTTGCCATAAGTGAGTCACTGCTTCTGTTCTGTCTCTCCTTGGAAATGCCACTTTTTCCTTCGATTTCAGGTTAGTTGGTTGCCCTGCAATCTTAGCTTTTTGATATGTGTTCAATAAAAGTTAAATTTTGTAGATTACCCAGATTTCTCTTGTTTGTATGGGATTGATACTTTTTCCAGCTTTCTACATTGTAGGTGGAGGCTGAAAAACTAAGTACAAATATTACTGCAGTGAAGATTAGAAATGGTGCATCTTACAGTCTTTGGCATCTTAGATTGAGTGAAAGAAAGATGCTGTCACGTGTAATTAGGAAAACAATTTCAGAAAAAAATGACTCTTGGGATATGAATCTTTTTTTGGTTTAGGATTTGTAGAAAACGGATGAAAGAGAAAATTTTGAAAGGCGGTACCTATGTGAATTTGGATAATCATAATTTTCCCTTATATCCAAGCACATTCAATGGAGGATGTCACTAATGCAGTATGTTCATTTAGTTATTAACCATTTGTGTGCTGTTTGATATTTCACTTTAAGAACGTGTTCTTTTTCAGCACCTCGGGCTCCAACCAACTGGAGATTGGGCAAACTGCTTGGCCAAGGAGCCTTTGGAAGGGTCTACCTCTGTTATGATGTTGATACAGGAAGAGAATTGGCTGTTAAGCAAGTTCAGTTTGATCCTGATAGTCCTGAGACCAGCAAGGTAAAAATCACTGCACACATTTACTTTGTCACATTATAAGAAACTTTATTTATTATTATTCTTTTAACATTAAGCCCCTTCCATTCTAAATAAGAAGCATTTTTACTAAAAAGTACAGTTTTCTTTAGTATAAATTATTTGTAAAACAAATTAGATATATTTATCTACTTTTCAATATGTATTTTTCTTTTTTAGTACTTCAGTTATAATATTAATCTGATTCAGTGTTGCTTTAGCATATCATCAAGGACTGTTTAAAAAGTTATTGGTTAGAGACTTTCAGATATTTGTTACTGGGAACTAAAATTTTCAGAATGAAATCACCTTGATGGTCCATGAAGTTAGAATTTTTTGCTTTTACTGACATTGTTGAAGACTTAACAATGAATTCTCTCTTTCAGGAAGTAAACGCACTTGAATGTGAAATTCAGTTGCTGAAAAACTTGCTGCATGAGCGAATTGTTCAGTATTATGGCTGTTTGAGGGATCCCCAGGAAAAAACACTTTCCATATTTATGGAATATATGCCAGGGGTAAGTTTGTACATCTTTTTGAAAATGCACATTCCATTTAAAATTACAGTTAATAAAAGAAAGACAAAAAAAACGTAGATTATAAAATGTTAACCCTAGTTAAAGACATTTTGAAAGAGTTTTAAATTAGAGCTGGGTTATATTTTCTGTCCTCTTCATCTGTCTTTGTATTTTTTAACTCATTAATGCTAAAGTATTCTAAAGTAGGTTACAGACATCTTAGCAGTCTATCTTGAGATTTCCTTAAATGCCCTAAAATGCCCATTATAGCTGATATATTCACACCAAGTTCCAGTCTAGGATGATACATTACATTTAATTGTTATGCTCCTTAATTATCTCTTTTTAAACAATTTTTTATAATTCTTAGAAAGAGAGGCAAGGTCTCACTCTGCTACCTAGGCTGGTTTCAAACTCAGTGATTCTTCTGCCTTGGCCTCCCAAAGTGCTAGGATTACTATCTAGAGCAGTCAGTTTGTACATGATACAGATTTGACAAAGAGAGGAAGATAGCCTGTTAAGAGTCTTCACTCTCAGGATCTGGAAGAATTTGCAAAAAAAAACCCAAAAAACTCTCATGGATTTCTCTAATTGCATTCTTGTGGATTTTGTTTTTTTGTTTTAAATTTTTTATATTTTTAGTTATATGGAATGCTTCACAAATTTCCATGTCGTCCTTGCGCAGGGGCTGTGCTAATCTTCTCTGTATCATTCTAATTTTAGTGTATGTGCTGCCGAAATCAGCATGTGGATTTTAATTTGTTCTTTTATCCCTTTATTTATTATCAAGTTAGATCTAAGGTCTAAATTAGATTCACATTCAAATTTGATACATCATAGATGAAGCTATGCATCCTATCAGGAGCCAGTTTCTGGTTATTCTGGTTATTCCACTGTAGCAATGCAAAGACCAATCATTAGATGAGGGTGATTGACATATTGATTCCTGCACTGTAAAGTTTTGTTTTTTCCTGCAGACCAGAAAGTAATAAGAGATATAGCAGTGGCACATATGAATAGCCCGTTCCTTTTCAACTATCCACCTACTGTTTTTAGCACTGATAGTCATCACTAGAGTCTATAATTTCATTAGGAGTTATAAAATGTGATTTGTGACATCTGTCATTATGTATATTTTATTTTTTAATAGAGTACATCTAGTATTAATGATTTTCAAGGTGGTGATTGATATGTTTACTCATTTAAAAATACATGTATTTCCATAATTTTTGTTTTATTTATTTATTTTTGAGATGGAGTTTCGCTCTTGTTGCCCAGGCTGGGCAATGGCATGCTCTCAGCTCACTGCAACCTCTGCCTCCCGGTTCAAGTAATTCTCCTGCCTCAGCCTCCCGTGTAGCTGGGATTACAGGTGCACACCAGCACACCCAGCTAATTTTTGTATTTTTAGTAGAGACGGGGTTTCACCGTGTTGGCCAGGCTGGTCTCAAACTGCTGACCTCAGGTGATGCACCCGCTTCAGCCTCCCAAAGTGCTGGGATTACAGGCATGAGCCACTGCTCCCGGCCATAATTTTTATTTTTTGAGATGGAGTCTCGCTTTGTTGCCTAGGCTGGAGTGTAGTGGTGCGATCTCGGCTCACTTTAACCTCTGCCTCCCGAATTAAATCATTTCTCCTGCCTCAGCCTCCTGAGTAGCTGGGTTACAGGCATCCGCCACCACGCCCAGCTAATTTTTTGTATTTTTAGTAGAGACGGGGTTTCACCGTGTTGGCCAGGCTGGTCTTGAACTCCTGACCTCAGGTGATCCACCCGCCTCAGCCTCCCAAAGTGATGGGATTACAAGCATGAGTCACCATGCCCGGCTGATACCTGTGTAATTTTTGTATTTTTAATAGACATGGGGTTTCACCCTGTTGGCCAGGCTGGTCTTGAACTCCTGACCTCAGGTGATCTGCCTTCCTCAGCCTCCCAAAGTGCTGGGATTACAGGCATAAACTACTGTGCCTGGCCTCTTCTGTATAATCCTACAGGTAGAGACACAGTAGACTGAACAAACAAGCCGTGCTGAACTGTAGGTGTCAGTAGTTGACTGGGCACCCTTGCTCCTTTCCATATGTGTGATTTACAAGTTTGGGTCCACAGAATTGCAAAATGCTCTCCCTCCAAGGATGGCTCATAAACAGTGGAAAGGACAAATGGTTAAATCTGTAAAATCCAAGGATTTACTTTCATGTGACAGAGTACACCGTTTACCAAAATTCAAGGAAAGGCAGAAACATTCGGATGTATTTTCCTGTCAAAAAAGGGATTTGTCCCTCAGGAAGCATTTTATTTCTGTCTTTTAAAGGGATGATTACTCAAACTTGTACATTGGAATCACTAGGGAAGCTTTTTCAAAATTCAAATACCTATGCCTCACTTCAGACTGATTCAGCTTTCTCAGAGATGGCACCTTATCCTGCCCTAAAAAACACTTGAGAAAATCTGAAGTTCTCCTTTTGTGTATGTTCTCATGTTTCGAACTTGAGTGTTGAGTTTTTTCTTATATAAAGAAAAAACTTTAAAATGTCATATATGTTCTTTCTAGTTATACCCATTCCTTTTCCTGAGAAAATCAGCAGATGTCAATAAAATACTTTAAAAACAGAATAAGAACAAAATAAATAAAATTCAAGTAGGACATGCTTAGACAAGTGAGATGAGAATTCCTGGCCTCTTTACCAATAAAGATTTAATAGCAGTTTTCATTTCAAACCATATACAGTAGTTGTTGTTGTTGTTTTCTCCTAGGGTTCAATTAAGGACCAATTAAAAGCATATGGCGCTCTTACTGAGAATGTGACTAGGAAATACACCCGTCAGATTCTGGAGGGTGTCCATTATTTGCATAGTAATATGATTGTCCATAGAGATATCAAAGGTAAGTAATGAGGTATTTTCTATTTTAAATAGACAGTTCTTTGTGAATGTGAATGAAACAAGTGATGTGGATAAGACATTTAACATTAATTCATCTATCTCTGAAACAGGGAAACAGTTCTCTTGCTTTCTTGTGAACTGCATCAGTGTTTTATCACACCAGTCCTGTCTCCCCAAATGGGTAGCTCTACTGTGGGGGCTCACAGAATCAGTAAAGTTTAAGAGACCATACAAGTGAGATCATGTTTCATACATATTACATAGGCATTAGGACAGGCTGGCCAAGAGTAGGAGCCCTGCTGCCAGGTGGCCTGATTCAGATTCGGGCTTTATCCACACTGTGTGACCTTGGACAAGTTACTCAGTCTCTCAGTTCCTCTTTCTTAAATGATGGAGATAACAGTATCCAGCTCATAGGATTCTCTAAAGGAGTAAATGAGTTAATGCATGCAATATGCTTAAAGTAGTGCCTGATACCTAAAAAGCTCTTAAAAGTTAGCTATGATGACATACTTTATCTTGAGATCAAATTTGAGCTAGGAGGAATGGATGTCACTAGCTTGGGAAAGAAGGAAGGGGGGGAGAAAAGAACCCCAAACTGAGCTCTGATGAACTCCAACTATGTCAAACTGACATTAAAACTCAAAAACTCAACCGTTTTCAGGGATAAAGGATGTAGGTAGATGCGTGAAGTCACACAAAAGCAAGTGGTGGGGATAAGTACAATTTAAGAATGCTTCAAAATCTATACTACAAAACACACCTGGAAGTTTGGTCCTGTAAAGGTAGGTGGTAGCCCCAAATTTAGACATCACTTTATAAATCGATCAATAAAAATAAAAATAATGAATAGCGGCATGATGGTGCATGACTGTAGTCCCAGCTACCTGGGAGGCTGAGGCAAGAGGATTGCTTGAACCCAGGAGTTCAAGTCCAGCCTAATGTAGTGAGATCCCATTTGTTAATAAAAAGTAATGTGCCACATAATGATGTTTCCACGTCATTATGGACCAGATATACAACAGTGGCTATACCATATAGACTAGGTGTGTAGTAGGCTATACCATTTAGGTTTGTGTAAAAACACTCTATGATGTTTGCATAATGACAAAATTGCCTAACAATGCATTTTTCGGAATGCATCCCTATCATTAAGCAATGCATTACTGTAAATATGTATGTGTACACATTTGTATTTGCGTGTATAAAGATACTATTCATTGATCTTGCTGGGGACTCTGATGAGCTCCCAGGCTTTCACTTCCCCTTTGAGGTGTGGCACATCCTAATTATGGCCATATTCAGAGCAACGAGAACATTCCTAACCAGTTCTGGTGATGGAGTCGAATGCAGAATGCCTAAGCCAGATCACATATGCTAGAATGGGACTTAGAGTAAGTCTGAAAAGATGGGTACATTGCTCATGATCTACACATCTTAGGCAGACCTCAGTCGTTAAGTATGAAACCTGATAGCTTAAAGAACCTCATAGAGAGGTTATTCAGTTATGAATAATGTCCATTCAAGCCAGCTTCTCGTTAGCCCTCACAATGAGGCAAGGCAAAGGAGCTGACGGAGCTACCCACTGAGTGGATCTTCTTCAAACTTTGCCAGAAGTGAGGAGCCATCCTGGTCAAATGAGGAGGTTGGAAGTAAGCTGATTTTAAAGCACAGGGCAAATGTATTGATAAGAGAATAAATAAAATATAAAATTGGATGTGTGCAATATGATCTTAAGTTTGTAAAATTCAAGTATGACCTAGAAGGAAGATTTCCATATGATTGATGGTGGTTATCATCAAGTGGCAGGATGAGTGATGGTCTTTTTTTTTTTTTTTTAATTAGATGGAGTTTCGCTCTTGTTGCCCAGGGCTGGAGTGCAGTGGTGCGATCTCGGCTCACTGCAACCTCCGCCCTCACCCCGGGTTCAAGCGATTCTCTTGCCTCAGCCTCGCTAGTAGCTGGGATTACTGGCATGTGCCATCACACCCGGCTCATTTTGTATTTTTAGTAGAGATGGGGTTTCTCCATGTTGGTCAGGCTGGTCTCAAACTCACGACCTCAGGTGATCTGCCCGCCTTGGCCTCCCAAAGTGCTGGGATTACAGGTGTGAGCCACCGCGCCCTGCCTTTGTTTGTTTGGTTTTTTTGAGTCAGGGTCTCCCTCTGCCACCCAGGTTAGAGTGAAGTGGTGCTATCATGGCTCACTGAAGCTTCAACCTGTTGAGTTCAAGCCAATCCTCTCACCTCAGCCTCCCGAGTAGCTGAGACTACAGGCACACACCACCATGCCCAGTTAATAAAAATTTTTTCTTTTTTTTTTTTTGTGTAGAGATAGGGTATTGCTATGTTGCCAGGCTCCTATATACTTTTTCTGTATTTCTCAAATTTCCATGAGCAACTTTTAAATCGTAACAGAAAAGGAAGATGATTGGTTTTCAGTTTAGACCCATGAAGTCATAATGAAACCTAGGATGAAAATGAATTGATTATATTGCTAGGGAACCAACTCACTATTTCAAAAACTAGTTGCTCTCTTCTGCCTTTGTTTTTGTTGTATTTGTATTACAAACTAGACCACTGAAGACCAAATAATGGATGAAAGGAAACTTATCTTCATAGAAGTATTTTGGCTAAGAAGCGAAGAAAGAATAATGAACAGATACTGGCATTAAACATTAATGGCTGCTGATATCACTTAAATAGAGATTGTCTAGAATACAACATTATCTATCTAGTTTTGTTCCTCAGTTCCCCAGAAATTGAACCTGAATCTGATCAAGCCTCCAAATTCGGTTACGGAATTATGTAATATACATACAGGACAGATGAGCATGTTAAAATGATTCTTTGGGATGCAGTCAG